CATGCCATCTGCCTTATATTGCACGACATCAGCAGCCGAGCCACGAGGCGGCCCTGAGAAACAAGGCGCCCAGGGACCTACGTTGTGTTGAACTGATCGGACCCGTAGCCATATGCGTGATCAAGCTGATCTATGTTTGCTTTCTCTCTCTTGTGTCAASAAGATTGATTGGGGGACGCRCGAATCGCTTTTKTTCTTAATGACGTCTWAGGATATTTTGTGATTGATTGACATGTGGACTGACAAGTACCCTTCGATTGGRCGCCAGCCTCCCGTATCTCCCCTCCCAACGCGACMTTTTCCTTACAGTGAGGAAAGRACYCGTGTATGTGAGTGGGACGTACGAGAAGCCGTTGCACAAATCGGCGGCTAGTATTACTTCCCTCCGGCCAACCGCTGTTCTGGGTTTGTAGAAGCCGGGTTTTGTTATTATCGATACGCACTTCCCACCTTACTCGGTATTGTTGCCATTTAACAAGTTGATTGTCATTCCGTGGACGGCAGTAGAACCCTACTGGCCGCGCACTTTGTGCACCGAATGTCAGCGTTTTGAGCGCTACGAGTCCAGGGGTTTTCACTACCGTGTGCGGAGCGAAGACGAGCATAAAGAAAGAGTCACGCGGCTGAGACCCTCCACGTCAGACTCAGAACTAACCAGCGAACGACGACGAGATTTGATACGAAAATGAGACACGCGAAGCGTGCCCAAGCCTTTATGTTCTAGACGACGGACTGTAGCCCGATGGGAGGCACGACAATACTTTTTGGATTGAATTTGGATCTTTCCCTCTCTTCCCGCTTTACCGCGCGCGCATTTTGCGACGCGCGAAAACGATCTACTTGCTCCATTGGACCAATGCGGGGAATTTCAGTTCCGTCTGTATCCCCACACTCAATTTCCAAAAATCCTTGGCACACCCCATCTTGCTGTTTTTCTGGGCCTCTTTTCCGCACAGCTAACACTCCGTACGAAAGACAGCACAGGGCGTGAGGTTGCGCGTCACATAGGACATGATGCAGAGTATGCTTGAAGTCATTTGGGAGTTGGAGGAGGGGCCCGCTCCTTCGCTTGATGACTTTGTGGATTGGCATCAAGCTGGCTTGCTCATGCACAGTTGCTACAACATCTTTAGGAGCGGCCAGGATCGTTGTGCAGCCTTGGAGGCGGGATTGTCGCCTGCGACAACGAATGGAGAGAGCAGAGGCAACAACAGCTCCAGCATCAACATCGATTGTAACGACTGCAACGACAACGACATCATCGACAGAGGCGGTGGTGGKAACAACAGCAACGACAACAACAATAACAATGATGGAAACATCAACAACAACAACAATAACAACAACAACAACCTCATGATTGTCAACTATAGCTTTCTTGGTGTCATGAACGACAACTGTGGAGACGACATCGTTAGCAAAGGGATTGACGTTGGAGGTGGTGAGAACATCAATGAAAACGACGACAATAACGACAATAATAACTTCAACATCTACGACAACAACAACAACAACAACAACAACAAACAGCTCAAGAATATTAACCACAGTTTTATTGCTGACGACAACTACGGAGACGAAATCGACGGCAAGGGGATCGACGGCAATAACTGTGGAGATGAAATTGATGGTCAAAGGATCGACTATAATAACAGCGCTATTGGGATCGGCGGCACTGCTGGCAACAATAGCATCGACAGGATTAACAACAACAATAACTACGGGTATGGCGATGAGGCCAGGGATGTTAAGGACAATTTGGAGATCGATCGCGTGTGCAGGGGGATGCCCAGAGTTGTTGGTTGGCAGCGGATGGGCGTGGGTTAGTCGGCGGGGAGTGGAGTTGTCCTGTCCGCAACTCCAATCAGGCAGGGGTGGTGGCCCCTCTGCTGGTAAGCGGATTGTTTAGGGTTTTCTTGACATCCCTGTCTTGTGTTGGATAATTACTATGTTTTGATGATTGTTTCCCAGGATGGTTGATGAGGAGACTTGTCATTACGGTTAGGGTTGGTGTTGTCGGGAAATGATTGTGGTTTCTGACTCTGTTGTGATTCCCCCCCCCCCCCTTGTTCGCTGATGAACAGTCTACCTATCGGTGGATGGGTGGAGCACGGTAGGGCTGCAGCACATACACTACAAGTCGTCATAAACTTTTGCTTGAAAAATCGAATGATTACCATGTTTAGGGACGCTGGACCCGATTTCCAGCAGGTGCTGCTCCCCACCAATAGATGGAGCCTTCCTGATGGTGCTAGTGGTGTCTGCTCTTACCAGCACCCCTAGCGTTAGTTCGGGCTGATTCTTGAAAAAACAAAACAAAAAAAAAGGATAGAGGCCTTCTAAAAAAAAAAAAAAAAAAAAAGGTCCCCTTCACCCCCTAGTTTCACTACTTTCCCGGATGCCACTTTGGATAGGATTTTTTTTTCATTCTTCCATAGATATTGAGCAGGTGTTATTAAGATCCTTCTGTGGCAGCCCTCATCCTAACCCTTATACCACATTGGTTTTTCAACACAATTCGCTGGTCGTTTGATTCCAAGGATTGGCAGTCCAGGAGGGGTTTGAATGGCTTGTTTTAAGTTTTAACCCGAATGTTCACAGCACGGTGTGAAGACAAAATAGGCATTCAGGAGCAAGAAAAGTGGTTTGTCGTTTTGGGGTTTCCAGGATGACCGTCCCAAGTACCTTGCGTGAAGACAAAATAGGCATTCGGGAGCAAGAGAGGAGATTTGTCATTTTTACGGGTTGCAGTGTGGTGACTTTTTAACCCGTATGACCATCTATCATCCCGGAGATCTTGCAACGTACATCATGGGATTGGGAGGAGGGCGTGACGAGAAAATGGGCATTCAAGAGCAAGATAGGCGGTTTGCCATTTTCAGGAGGCGGAAATGTGGTAACTTTGCTATGCAAATATTTAATATTCACGTGCGCCATTGTTGTTTTTGTGAGTTGCAGTGTGGTTACTTTCTTACCTGAATGTTGACAGGGGGGCAGTTAACCTGGTGGCGGGAGCAAGAGAGGTGATTTGTCGGTTTTAGGAGTTGCAGTGTTGTTTTTGTTGCCATTTCTTCTGCAAGAACATGGCTGCATTGGGATATGGGCATGAAGAGAAAACAAGCATTTGGGTTCGAGAGGGGTGATTTGGGGTTCTTAGGGAAGTCCCACTGATTTCTCCTTTTTTGCCAGTTATCGCAGATTACACTTTTGTACCCAAATGTCCACAGTGGGGCAATTAACCTGGTGGTGGGAGCAACAGAGGTGATTTGTCGTTTCTGGGAGTTGCAGTGTTGATTTTGTTGCCATTTTCTGTACAAGAACATGGTTGGTTTGCAAGGAGGGCATAAAGAAAAAATAGGCATTGGGGGGCAAAGACGCAATTTGTTGTGTTTCGGAAAAAAAAAAAAAAAAAAAAAAAGAAGTAATCTCTTTCCTCACTCAAGAAGGGACTCCGGTGGCCCAAATTCTCGATCAGGCAACACAACTGGAGGACAACAGACCAGACTCATCCGAGGTGGGATGGGCATTGGATTCCGGGGTGTCAACACCCACCAAAATTTCAATCAGTGACTACAGACCAAAATTGGGATACAAGCTACATTCGAAAGCTTTCTCTCTGAAAGCACAATCATGCCCGTCGTGGAATAAGCGTTTCAATCCTATGCCTTTTTTTTTTTTTTTTTTTTTTTTTAACAACAACCCAGTAGAATGCTAGGGGTGCTGATAAAAGCAGACACCCCTAGCAGTCCCCGGGAGGCTCCATCTATTGGTGGGGAGCAGCACCTGCTGGAAAGCGGGTCCAGCGTCCCTGAACATTTCAATCCTACGCCTTTTTTAACATTTGTGGAAAAGTGGTTACCTTTCTATTGCCAGATGATCGCAGGTATCACAGAGGTCACGATGGGAGGGCTGCAGTGGATGCATAAGCACTCATGTGTGCCCACTGCAGAATGGTGTTCAGAAAAGGGCATGATGGTAAGTATCTTCTGCGACCATTGCCCCTACCCAAGGGTGGAATCCTCTGCACACCTATGGCGGGAATGTGTGGTGGCCACGTGCTTTCGCTGAAGGGCGTGCAGAACTTCGGTTTAGAGCTTACGGGGATTCTTTTTTTTTTTTTTTTTTTAAAAAAAAAAAAAAAAAGAAAGGCCCCTGCGCAAGGCCTCTATCCTGGTGGTGGTAAGAGAACCACCGGGATTGAGGCTTTGCCTGGCGGGCCGCTCCATCTATTGGTTATGGACTCAAGAATTTGTGATCTCTGGAGTTACTACAGCAACGAAAGGTAAGGTTGTGGCCTACAAATTCCGGGCCATAGCTTTCTGGATTCTTTGGCTAGCACGTAGGGATAGAAGGTTTTGCTCCAAACCTACCTCTCAGACTGTTATTAGGAACCAATTTCGGTATTCGGTTCGCCTGCTAATATTAGCAGAACTAAGGAAGGAAAAGAGTCTCAAATTGTGGGAACAGCACTTAAGATGGGCAGGACCTCTGGCTTCAGGCCAAGTCTATTTTTCCAGACTGCTGTGGGACGAACAATCTGTTATTTGAAAGCAAGTCCTTTTAGAATTAGCGACAGCCAGAAATCAAACCCTTGTGTTAAAGGCTCGTTCAGGGATAGTCAATTTGCTCTTTGTCTGACTCTGCAAGGACTTGCCCAAACCTAATAGAACTGTTTCCTTCAGAAAGGACGCTGAACCTGTTTTCCAGCCGGTAGTCTGTTTTTCTTTCTGAGGACTCTGGACCTGTTTTCCAGAGTGGTTACCGGAATAGGACGCTGGACCTGTTTTCCAGCAACCCGGGGGCTAGGTCCCACTTACACGAATTAAGAGATGTTGACCGTAGATAGCACAGATCAACAGTCAGAATCTCTTAATCCGTGCAAGTGGGACCTTGCCCCCGGGTAGAACTGTGAGGTCCCCGGCCTCTTCTGAACTTCTGTTATTTATAATGAAGGTAGCCAGCTTCAAAAAAAAAAAAAAAAAAAAAGGAGTTTTTTTTATTTTTTATTTTTTTTTTGTAAATTTGCACCATTTTCAAGAGTGGTGTGGCGTGGCCCTAACTCGACCTTTCCAGCCTTGGCTCTGTATTGCACTGCAGCAGAGTGTGGTGCGAAAGAAAAAAAGAAAGAAAGAAAAACAAGGAGGGGTCTTTAGATCTCAGATTTTCTGGGGCGAGGTCCCACCAGCAAAGTGGATAGGATTGAACTCCTGAATCTGGACGTGTTAGTGGAGAGGTGGAAAAAGGCGAGATTGAACTGTTTTTCTGCATCTCTGCTTAAAACGCGTCCAGATTCAGGAGCTTCATCCAATCCTTTTTGTCAGTGGGACCTCGGCCCTGGAGGTTCGGCCTCTGGGCTGGCTGCCGGCGGCGGCAAACGGCCTTGCAGTTCTCCTCACTGATCGACATGCGTCTGGACTGAAATCTCCACCAAATAATTTCTTACTGATCACAAATTTCGAATATATCAGGATCAGTACAGATCCACATACATTCAGAAAGCTTTGCTGGCGATCCAGGTCGCCTAAGAAAGCCCGCAATTCAACATCGGCTAGAGAGTATTGATGAGTTGAGGACGAGAATAGACAAAAAAAAGTGAAAAAGGAAAAAAAAGAGGAGGACGAGAATAGACGTGCGTGGCTGCCGGCCTCCATTGCAACCAGCTGGCCAAACGACTCACCAGAGGGCCGACCGACCGACCGACCGACCGACCGGCCCACCAGCTGACCGACTGACGGGCCGACCGACCGGCCGCGCCTCTGGGATCCCTCTGCATTCCCATTCCACAGACCCCCCCCGGAAGCGGCCCATGTGGTTGAATGGTGGGCAGCTTTGACTATTTTTTATTTTGTTTTTCCCTTTTTTTTTTGTTTGAGTGTTAACAAACAGATCGTGGGGTCGAATCCAGCGAGAAGCTAACTCAAGGCGACCATGTGCCGGATTCCTGGTTTACAGACCCGCAGGAAGGGTCAGCAGAGCCTACCCACGGCCCAAAACATGCAGGGTTTCTGTGGTTGCAATCACACGGGAGAATGGACCTCGCTCCACTACTCACACTAGGGCCTACTCACACTAGCTAAGGGCCTTTTATGGCAAAATAGCTAAAATTCGTTGAAGGTTGGAGGTTGGGCCAGTCGCACCAGGCAGGGAAAGTGGCAAAAGCAGCAAACGGGTTACGGTATCAAATGTCAGCGACCTGGGGGGCCACGGGGAAGCTTAGGGCATTTTGCTACCACCTCTGGAGCTACTGGCAAATTTTGTTTTCTCAGTTGGAGAGTTCCTGAAAGGAAACGAACTTCGTTGGATTGGAAAAAAAAAAGGTTCCAAAAAAAAAAAAAAAAAAAGGTGCACTATGGGGCAAGATACAGTTTGCAATTGCACTTCCGGCGCCCTACCTGGCCGGAAAGCTGGGTTGCATTACCCGAACTGAGATTCAAAACTGTAT